GGGGGGGGGGGGAGGAATGTAGTGAGTAGAGAAGAGACTGTTTGATACTAGGGACTGGAATACAAAAGCCAGGCCTCACGGAATGGAGCTCTAGCCTGGACTCTTCAGAGTAAGCAGAATCTAAAATGACTATAGAAGGAATGGCAGTATTCCTGGCAAGACAAGTAACATAAAACAGAAGAGATGCATACAAGAAATGCCTCAAAAAAAATGCAAAATACTTGTGAATATCAGAAAGGGGGGCTGTGAACTGAAAAAAGGGGAAATCCACCCAGAATAATCGAATGTTCTTGTTTCTGACCAAAGGTGGGATAAAGGACCGGATGACGAAATAATATACCGAGTTTGATTTTGGGCACGTTAAATTTTATATGACAAAAATATCAAAGTAAAACTAAGCAATAGTCTATTATGATGAATATAAAAATCTTTTGATTTTGAGCATTTCTCATGTTTCAGATCATGCCAAAAGCCATATATGTTTTATCATTTACCTTTAGAACCATCTTGGGACACAAACACTATCTTTTTCCTTATTTTCCAGAGGTGAACAAAAACTTACATTAATAACTTGCCCAGAACCACAAAGAATAAGTGAGAGAATTAGTGTTGGATTCCAGTATGTCTGACTCCAAAACCATGCATATAGTCTGTAGTCAGGCAGCCATGAATAGATTACTGAGTCTTACATAAATATACATAAAAAAACAAAAATGCATTAAGCAAAGTGCTGGGTACACAGTTGCCAATAAAATAGCCACAGTCCTTACCTTCATGGAACTTAAATCTGGTGGGAATAACTGACATTAAATTTAAAAATCATAAAAGCATAATTACAAGTGGTGATAAGTGCTATAAAGGGGATACAGAGTGCTGAGAGAAAGTATAACAGGCTATAATAGGTTAAAAAGAAAGATTCTCTAAAGAAATTTAGATATTCAGCACATAATCTCTCTTTTGATCTCTAGACTGTTATATCTAAATATCTCCTACTTAGCAGTTCAAATTCTAACATATCTAAAATTTAACTCTGTGGCCTTCACCAGTGTGGCTCAGTTGGTTGGGTGTCATTCAGTGCACGGAAAAGTTGTGGGTTTGATTCCGGCTGAGGGCACATGTCAGGGTTGTGGGCTCCATCCCCAGTAGGGGGCATGCAGAAGGCAGCCAATTGGGTGTTTCTGCTTTTCCCTCTCCCTCTAAAAATTGATAAAATCTCTTTTTAAAAAATTAAATTAAACACTGTGGATTCCTGATCCCCATTTTAACACCTTCAACTACTCATCTCAGAAACCTTGCAGGCATTTTTTACTTCATTCTCACCCACCCCCACATGCAGTCAATTACCAATTTCCTTTGATTCTCTCTCCTAAATGCACCTTGGGAAAAACCTCTTATTTCATACCTAACACTATCACCCCAAACCAGCTTCCTTACCTGATCCATCCTGATAGCCAACTAATTGGCTTCACCAATACTAATTGGCTTCACCAATACTGCTTTTGGCCCCTCCAAACCACTGTCTATGAACACGCTAGAGTAAGATCAAAAGCTTACACTTTTTCTAGGACTCACTGTTGCATTTGAGATAAAATCTAGATTGAATCTTTTGCATGGCCTCCAAGACGTCACAAGATCTAATCATGCTAGCATAGTATCGAAGGAAGAGAGCTGCAAGGAGGAAGTGATCACAAGAGATAAATACTGCAAAGTCAAAAACATAGGTGCAGTTATTTCACTGGATTTGATAACAAAGCTATTCACTGGTGGGCTGCGACAGAGTAGCAGGAATGGAGGCCACAAAATAGGGGGTCATGGGAGTCATGGGAAGAGGGGAAATAAGTGGAGGTAGTCAATGAAAGCATTTGTTTGAAAAATTAGGTGATGGTAGGAGTCAGGTGACCATTTTCCTGCAGCTCTCATGTATGAAATCGGAGAAAGGCTGAGACAATAAACTTTAGGAAGTCAGGGTAGGGTGAGGTCAAAGACATAGGCGAGATGATTAACTGCATAACAATTTTCTCAGTGGTGTAAGCTGGTGACCAAGAGCAGAGGCAGGGTCACTTACCAGGGTGTCACACTCGGTACAGTTCTGGTACTCTGATTTCATTCTTTTTGCTACATCCGTTGCTGGAACTCCTTCTGAGGGAAGATATGCCCGGCAGTAAGGACAGGTCCACTTATTGTTCTTTAGACTGGTAGCAATACAGGAACGGCAGAATCTACCCGAAACAAACCAAGGATACATCACTTCCCTTGAAAGGTGTAACAAAGCCACCACTATGGGTTCATTTGGGTAAACTGTATTTTAATGACACCTTGTACACTATGAGCTGTAATACCAAACTGAAGGTCCATTTGCACCCTGTACTGGTCCGTCTCTTACCTTCCCCTAGGAAGACTTCTCCGGGGTCACATGTCCTCACCATATGAATTGCACACATTTAAACAAAAGAACACAAACAAAATGGTGAAGTAGTAGTCCTATAAATGGAGTTAAAACGATAACCCAAAGGACTTCTACTGTATTCTTTCTTTAATCCTACTTTACCTAAATTTTTTGGGGAAAACAGGTGTTTGCTCTGTAGAATTTTGGGTGTTAGATAAGAAAATAGCAAGTTGAGGAGGTAAATATGTCAGTTACCTTAGAAACCTTTATAAAATCATTTTAAAGCCATTCCCAGATTTGGAAAATTATCTAATCCAACCACTATTGAGAATGTCCTTCAAGTCACAAAATACATTCTCTGGTTTACTTAAATATGATCGTAATAAAATCTTAACACCATCAACTGAATTCACAGAACATCTTGACCTATTTAGGGGGGTTGTTGAAGGCTAAGTGCGCACGAAGTAAAAATGAGCATTTAGGTAGGTTATACACATTAGCATGATCTGATAGCTCTTAAAGTCCTCAGCATGTAATATCTATGTGAGAGTATTAATGGGAAAAGTTATTAAGCTTTTAAAAATTTAAATATACTATACATTCTGAAAAGTTCATACATTGCTGGTACACAGTTCAATGAAATTTCAAAAACTGAATACCTAATTATACCAGCCATTACTGATTCTTAAAAGTACTCTCTTCTGCATTTGCTATTTAAAAAATTCTTATCAGCACACAAAGGATGCGGACGTGGGCATAGCGCTTAAGGCATTTGCTTGATGTTTATGCCTGCCCGTATCCATTTCCCCTTTTTCTTGCAACAGCATCCTGATTTTGTTCTGCAGGAGGTATATCTCTTAGATGCAATCTGGTGGGACCTCAATCAAGGTGCCCAGCACTCCCTTCTGACGGCTGAGAGCACCCAAAGTAGGCCAGACTAAGTGAAGTCTCTGGAAGACGAATACTAAATAGAGGGCCATAAGGACTGATTCAGCAACAACTCTACTTAAAACCTCAGATCTGCCTAGGTTTCTACACTTTTTTTCTAGGTGTTTTTGCTATTATTGTTTGGTAACTTGCACAATTCGCCCTTGCATTTCTTTGAGTCCCTAAGAATTGGTTCTCAAAATGTAGCCTTTGAACGGTATTTATTACAAAGGCTCCAAATGCTCAATTCATAATTAACATTTCTAATACAACACCTAAGGTTCTGACATGAATTCTTTGTTTACACAATTTAGGAACAAACAGATGATAATTATTTTTTTTTTGTCAACCAAAAGTCTTCCCCCTTTTCTCACAACTTATTTGAATTTTATGCCAATACAAGCAGAAGACTAACATTGGTGCCAAGCCCTGTGGTGGGCACTGATGTACGTGATCTCATTTAGCCCTCACAGTAACCCTAAAATGTTGCTCTGCTTTATCCTCACTTGACTGATGGTAAACTGAGGTTCAGGGAGATTTAACAAGTTGCAAGGGTCACACGGCCAGAAGACAGTCCGTACTTTTCTTCTCAAATAGTTTCAGGAAAGGCTCAAAGGTTGTCTTTTTAAAGACACTTTCATTCCTCCCAGTGATAAGCAGAAGCAGCAAAGTTTTATCATTGATGTACCTATATAAACCTGTGGGCTTTACATACAGTACATTTCTGCTGTCATTTTGTAAACATTCTGCACGTTTTTGTAACTACAATTAATAACTACAACAATGGAAATGCCTAGTATGTAATCATGACAAGTAGCACACTTGAAACATTATTTTAATCAAGTCCCTCACTATAACCCCCCTATATCTGTACAGTGATGTTACGTGTGCCATGAAACTCAAATAAGCATTGCATTAATGTTACTGCACTATGTGAGATATTAGTTGCAAATCTGGTAGTCAATTAGCTGTACTCATTTTAATAAAAGTGATTATTAAATGGAGAAAACACATCAAGACCAAGGTGTTTTGGAACAGATTGAATTTATAGATATGAGTACATAAAAACCACAACTTTTAAAAATGTTACTCTGGAAAGGAACTGGATGCTACTGCAGCTCAAGTCTTACTTTCTGGGGCTTTCTGGGGTGCAGAAACAAGATTACAGACCTGATAAATTCAAAAGATCTGAGGTTTAAATAATTCTCCTTAAAGGTATAATTATTAAATTCAAGTAATGAGAGCTGGAAAATTTAACATCCCTACCCCAATACATTAGCATAAAAAGTTTACAAGTGATCAAACATTTCATGAATTGTCTAATGAGAATCCATTCAGGGCTATTCAGGTTTAGGCAACATAAACAAGGCCTATAGACAAGATGACTCAAAACTAAAATCTCTTAGAAAGCAAAGTGTAGAGGTGTGTATATAGTATAAGCTACTTTTAGGTTTGTAGATGTATAAAAACATCTATGATAAAGAAACAAAGAACATTTACCTACCTGTTACAGAAATAGGAAACTGGAAAGAAGTGATATCAACTAGAAAGAGGGCATTTTCATTGTCAAATTTTAAGTTTGAACCATACCTGCACAATAAACAATTCTTTAAAAAAAAACAACACCATACAGGCACCCCTTGGCCCTGCAATAACAAGCCTGTGTATTCACTAAAAAGAAATAAAAAATACATCCAATTTGTACAAGAATATTCATAAGGAGTGTTTTCATAATAGCCCCAAACTAGAAATAACCCAGATGTCCATCAACAAGAACGTAAATAAACAAACCATAGCATATTCCTACAATGGAATACTACACAGCAATAAAAAAGAACAAAGTACAGACACAAGCAACAATGTAGCTGCCTCTCAAAGACATATTGAGTAAAATAACCCAAACACAACAGAGTACATCCTGTATAATTCCACTTATATGAAGTCCTTGAATAGGTAAAACTGACCTATTACAGAAAAAAATCACAACAATGGTTGCCTGTGGGGCATACACAAACAGGGACTGGCTGGGAAGGGCCATGAGGAAACTGTCTCTGGAAAATACTCTCTCTCTTGATAGGGGTTTAGACTCAGTATCTGTTAAAACTCAGCAAATGTTATACCTAGGAAATACGAATTTTACTATAGGTGTAATTTACCTTAAGGAAAAACAAACCATAACCAAATATTGAACTCTGGTTAACATTATGCCTACTAATATGAGAAGGAATCAGAGTGTGCTGATATTTGTAACCTACTAGGAAATGCATCAAAAAATAAGATGGTTGATGGATGGATAGGTATGTGATAAAGTGAAAGATAAAAGCAAAAATAGCAAAATTAATAATTATAGAATCTAGGTAGTGGATATATAAGTGTTCACTGTACAATTCTTTCAACTTAGCTATATGTTTGAAATTTTTCATAATAAAATATTAGGGAAAATGAACCACCTCACCATGACTTATATTTTCTTTACTCCTGAGAAAAATTTAGTTGGAAAATTGGGAAGGGAAATGTTTGAAGAATGAGAGACCTGAAATTTCTAATAGAACGTGCTTTGAAAAGAAAAACATTTTAAAAAATATTTTTAAGGGCATCCAAATTCAGTGTGAGGAAAAGGTTACATTGCATTTATGGTTATTTAAATAAACTTAAAAGTGCACTGAACAATTTGAAATATAATAAAAGGCTGAAGAGTCAAAACTTTTAAAAAATGAACTTGTGTGGCTTTTGGTAACAGTTATTCCATGGTTATAGTGAAGACTTCATGAGAGAATGCATAAATCTGCACAAATCTCTCTACGCCCAACCATATAAGCATATATTCACTGTCAAAATTTTTAGTGACAGCTTACTATTGCCAAGCAGTGTTTGAGATGCCAGAGGTGAAACTGTGGCAGTGCTTAAAGTCCCGATCTCAGAGTTCTAGAATGGGGAGAGGAAACAGGCAGGTAAACAAAGAGGAATAAAATAGGTGACAATAAAAATAGAGTGGGTGGGGCAGAGGGAGCAGTTAGATGGGTGGTCCCTGAGATGATATTTGAAGACACCAGGCTTGGGAAGGTCTGGGACTGTTTTTCCAAGCTGCAAAGAAAAGGTACAAAAGATAGGGACCACCTTGCCGAGGTACTGAGCGTCAAGTAATCGGGGATGTGTGGGAGAGTAAGGAGGTAGGAGACAAGCCATAAAGCCATAGCTAAGAGTGATGGGAAGGCACTGCAGGGTTTTAAGTAACAGGGTGACATGACTTGATCTACATTATATAGATCATTGGTTCCTGTGTCAAGAATGGATTACAGAGGTACATGAGCCACAGTGAGGCACCCAGTTTTAAGTCAATTGTAATAGCCAGTGTAAAACAGGAAGGTGGCTTAGACCAGCAAGGGAGCACTAGACAGTGCAAGGGGGAAGACAGACAGGATTTATTTTGGAAGGAGAGGAAAAAGGACTTACAACATACCAAATGACAAATATATGCCCCACTATGCTAAATGAAAGAAGCTGAACACAAAAGACTACTTATAGAATGGTTTCAAATCGGTGACGAAAGCAGATGAGGGGTTGGGGGAGGGGATTGACTGCAAAAAATTGGAGGGAACTTTTTTTTTTTAAAATGTATTTTATTGATTTCAGAGAGAGGAAGGGAGAGGGAGAGAGAAAAATTTCAATGATGAGAGAGAGTCATTGACCAGCTGCCACCTGCACGCCCCCTGCTGGGGATGGAGCCCTCAGCCCCCGCATGTGCTCTGACCAGGAATCAAACCTCCATCTCACGGATCACAGGTCGATACTCAGCTGCTGGGCCACACCAACCGGGCTTGAGGGAACTTTTTAGGGTAATGAAACTGTTAGTTCTTGTTTGTAATGATAGTTATAGGATTGTATACAACTACCAACATTCATCAA